TCCTCATCAAGATCACCATTTAAAAATGTCGTCTTGACATCCATCTGATGTATAATCAGATTGTGTATAGCCGCCAAAGCAATTAACAACCTAATGGTTGTAATTCGAGCAACCGTCGCATACGTGTCAAAATAGTCAATTCCGGGTTTTTGTCTAAAACCTTGAATGACCAACCGAGCCTTGAACCTGTCAACAGTTCCATCCACTTTCATCTTCTTTTTGAAGATCCATTTGCAACCTAAGTGTTTAGAACCCGGTGGCAAATCTGACAACACCCAAGTGTTGTTCTCCATAATTGATGACATTTCATCATCAATTGTCTCCTTCCAAAAGGCAACATCTCGGGATTCCATTGCCTCTTTAAAGGTCTTTGGATCATCCTCAACTTGGTAACAATATGAATATTGTACCCCTGTTTCATCCCTTGAACCTTCCACTAAATACAAGTGAAAATCGGGACCAAAGTCTTTCACGATGCGGCCTCGTTTGCTTTTCCTTATTTGTGGTGCTTCGGGATTCAAAACACCATCCAAACATTCTGGAACTTGCACCTCACTAGTGCCTGGAACTAGGTCCTTTGGTCTTTGAATTGATGAAAATCTCATCTCATCAAAGATCACATCCCGAGACTCAATCACGGTGTTAACCGCTACCGCATCATTAGGTTCTATTACATAAAACCTATAAGCCTTGGAATGTCCAGCATACCCTATGAATATGCAATCAATTCCCCTTTCCCCCAAAGTTTTCCTTTTGGGCTCGGGCAATTTTACAATCGCCCTACAACCCCAAACCCGAAAATATTTCAAATTTGGCGCTTTCTTGTACCAAAGCTCATATGGGGTTGTCTTGTTCCTTTTATTTGGAACCCTATTTAGAACATAGCAGGCCGTGAGCATGGCCTCTCCCCAAAACCCTTCACTCAAACCCGAGTAGGAAAGCATGGAATTAACCATTTCCTTTAACACTCGATTTTTCCGCTCGGCCACACCATTTTGTTGTGGTGTATACGGAGCCGTGGTCTCATGAATGATTCCAACAGATTGAAAATAATGGGGATCCATATATTCTCCTCCCCGATCAGTCCTAAGACATTTAATTGGATTACCCAATTGCAATTCAACCTCGGTTTTATACACTTTAAATTTCTCTAAAGCTTCATCCTTTGTGTGTAATAAATACACATAACAAAACCGAGTTGAATCATCAATAAAAGTAACAACATACTTTTTATTGCCAAGGGAAGGAGTTGAGTGAAAGTCACATAGATCACTATGTACAAGATCCAAAATAGCCGAATTCCTTTCAATATTAGGAAACGGTTGTTTTGTGATCTTAGTAAGCATGCAAGTCCTACACTTATCATCATTATTAATATCAAAAGCCGGAATTAAACCATCTTTAGACATTTCATGCATTTTTCTAAAATTAACGTGAGCTAATCTAGCATGCCAAATCATACAATCATTCATGGAAGATGCCACAAAAATAGAATTATCACTAGGAATTAATTTATTCACAACATTTAAACGAAACATGCGATTTGATAAATTTCCAAAACCAACAAACACACCACACTTGGAAAGAATATATTTATCGGATTCAATCACTTGTTTGAACCCTAAATTATTCAACATACTTCCCGAAACAAGATCCTTTTGAACCTTCAGTACATACAAAACATCAAACAACGTAATTGTTTTTCCAGAAGTAAATTCTAAAACAACTACACCCTTTCCCAAGATAGGCGCCATTGACTCGTCTCCCATGCGTAAGAAGGAACCGACCTCCACTGGTTCTAGGTCTTCAAACCATCCTTTATCCTTACACACATGGCTCGTAGCCCCCGAGTCAATCCACCATGCACAGTCATCATCTTGTACATAAAAAGATTCTGGAATGAGTGATACATAATTCTGGACAGAATTATCAAAGTTAGTCACGAACTGACCTCCTTTCCGTGGAACCAGGTCCTTAGACCGTTTCTGTCCACTGCCACTCGTTCCAGCGCCATTCTTGTTCAGTTTCACACGGCAATCACGCTTGACATGTCCAACCTTTTGACACCTCCAACAAACCAAACCTTTCGGTTTCTTGTTGGGTTTGTCATGGTCTTCATACTTGCGCTTTTTGCCTTTCCCCTTATCTTTCGGGTTAGATTTATTATCCTCAACCAAGTGAACATGAGCCATTCTAGATTCAACTTCACCCATAATTTGGTCATTCTCTTGCACACGAAGATTCTCCTCAATGCGCAAGTGACTCCCAAGTTGAACCAAGGACAGTTCCTCATCTTGATGTTTTAAAGAACGTTTAAAATCCTTCCAAGAGGGTGGAAGTTTGTCAATTATACTCGACACGGCATAGGACTCATCAACACCTATCTTGTGGAGTTTAAATTGACCAAGAACACGAAGGAGTTCATTGTATTGTTCCATAACCGGCCTTGAGTCAACCATTTTATAATTATTAAAATCACTCACCAAGAACTTCTTACTAGAAGCATCCTCGGCGATGTATTTTGACTCAAAAGAATTCCACAATTCCTTCGCACTCTCAACGTTTTGGTAAATATCAAATAACGCATCGGACATATCGTTAAGGATGTGGCCTCTACATATGTAGTCATCGTTCTCCCACTTGTTGCGCCTCCTAGTTTGTTCCAAGGTTTCATCCTCCATCACTTCCGGCATTGGAGTGCTCAACACGTACACAACCTTCAACGTGGTGAGAAGAAATTGCATCTTCTTCTGCCATCTACGGAAATCGTTCCCTTGAAACTTGTCCAATTTGTTGAACTTGGATGTCATCTCTTCCACGGTACTCATGATTATCGCAAAAGAAATATCAATTCGATTGTTGGGGTAAATCACGTAGGGGGTGATAATTTGAGTACTTGGATTGCTTAAGGATCGTGTAAGTTCACTTTCCGAATTGATATTTCTCCCCTATGCCTGGGTTACAAGAAATTCAATTTAGGATAATCCTTAAGGACACTCTAGAACTTAGGCACAAGAACTAGAGCCAAACTAGTCGAGTATATGGATTGTTATCTTTAATTTGAGTGCCAAAGTGATGAAGATATTTTGGATATGTTTCCTCTTTCTCCTCTGTACGAAATATGGTGGTATCTATCCATATTCATCGTCCTAGGCAGTAGTAACACGATTAAGAATAACCGCAACAGTTTTTGGGAAACTGCTGGAAACTGCCTAACCGTTCTAGAACTCGGTCTAGAACCACAGAGCTGGTCTACTGAAAGTTATACCTCGAGTTCTACCTCGAGTTCCACTAACGTAGACACTTTGGAACTAAACTAGTTCTTATATACAAGTGTGCACTCCACACCTACTAACTTGTATTAGATCATAGTTCTAATTCCCATTGGTACTCATGTCATTTCCAATTACACAAAACAGCCAGTGACACTAAAATCACCAACAATCTCAAGGAGGCAACAATTCAACCATTGTTGGGATTAATTTATCTTAAATGCAATATGCTTCGTTTACATAATTTTAATGTCAGCTTTATACCTTATGCAAATAAGAAAATGTTTAATTAAAAATTTAAATTTACTTTTAACCTAGTAAGAACGACATCCTAAAATAAAAATGTTATCATCATTATTATACTACTATAATCAAGTCATAATGCCCTCATCAACCCAAATTACAAACATCAAGTCAAGTTTCCATCATGAACCAATAATGTTATCGTAACATCAGAATAAATGTCATCTCAACATACATTTTGTTTGCTAGGGATAATCATTTAGTCTGTGGGCTCAATAGCTCGTAAGGGCCTACCCATCCCATTTTCCAAAAGCCCAAACCAACTCATAAGGGTCATGGGCCGGTCCAACGCATTATTTGAATGTGTTGGCATGGGGTAAAGTATATCATTCTCGGTCAAGCCCATTGGCTTGACCCGTCAAGACCCATCATAGTACAGTCTATTAAACCTAACTTAGTCCAGCACAGAAGCTCTCTCATACATATTATTTTATAAATTTATTTTATAATTAGTGATATAATAAAGCAATGAGTAATAGTAGAAGAGAATGAAGTTTTAGATTCTTGTTAGGAGATAAAAGTTGGTGATAAAGCATGATAAGTTTAGATATAGAAGTATAAGTGTGGTTTTCCGTTTTTGTAAATCTCTTTATCAAGAGTGCATTATATTTTTTCGAGTAATAAAATCATTTCAATGATTTAGTTGATTGCATTGTATTTTGTCGGACCCTTAAGCCAAACTATATAGACGAGCTTAGACTACAATTTTATTATAAAAATCCGGTCTGACCTGAACCCATTAGTTTTTGGCTGGTGTGGCCCAGCATAGCATGTTGATGATCCCTAGTTGGCATACTGCCTAATATACTAATGCCCTCATCAACCCAAATCACTATTCCCTAATAGAAAATATCGTCCCAATTAATATTAAAAATATTACCCCCGTCCCAATAAATTCTTCCAAGTCAAACTTGGCTCGCAAATTTAGAAAGTGAGAATAAAGTGAAAATGTATGATTGTAGTTGTGTAAGAAAAAGGTAAATGAATGTGAACCACATATTTTTTCAAAAGTGAAAGTTGGAAGAATTTTTTCGGATGGTCCAAAAAGGAAAACCGGAAGAATTCAATGGGACGGAGGGATGTACAAGACATTGTCATCTCAATCGTAGCACGTGAATTAATTGAAACGTGGGCACATTACACATCTTTGGAAATCTCTAGAAAGCAGCATATCCATTATCAACTGTAGCATCTCCTATTGTAACCTTTTGACTGTGTTTTAATCATATAATAAATAATAAATGAAAATTTTCTATGCCACTGTATAGACTTTTAAATTCTTCATTTATCATTATAATATCTTTTGTTAAAACTTTCAAGTATTAATATAACTGCAAAGTAAAGTATGTCTATACCTGGTGTGTAATTGAGCGTGTATTTTGTTGAATGAGTTAAATTAAACTAGAGTTGTAATGAACACTGCAGGGGATATGGGCTGGAATGATTTTCGGTGGAACTGCACTGCAAACTTTAATATTGTGTATAATCACATTTCGATGTGATTGGGAAAAAGAGGTAAAGAACCCTTCACAAATCCATGGTTTCACTCATCATCATCATTACAATTATTATTTGTATTATAATAATTTTTCTTTTGAGAGGAAATAATTTATTTTTATCATTATTATTATTATATTATTATTGTTAGTTGTAATTATGGGTTTGGATGTATTGAGTTATTGTTTTTTATTATCAATTTATTCTGGTTACATGTTCAAATGTAGGCTGAGAAAGCAAATAAACACATTGAGAAATGGGAAGGAGCGAGTCACATAGAAGTTTGATGGAATTGCCATTATCATATGATATATATTAGGATGAAAGTCTTCCTACATTTGGGTGGGATAACAAAACCCAACCAACTGATGAGGACATAGTTTAATCAATATCAGTCTACGTACCACCTTGAATTGAGATAAGCGAAGTGATTAAATGCTCTTACTCTTTATTATTGTTCTTATATTAACGACGATCTACCTGTGAACCTTCCATGTGATCGTTTGGTCTAAAATATTTAACCTTCTAGATAACTATTGAGAAAATGGTACTCCACATGTACGTTAATCATTGATTTGGTGGGTTGACTCACTTCCAAATATACATAAAGAAAATTTTGTGATTTCAATGAGTTTTTCCGATATCTCTTCTGGATTTCAACACTTATTTAAATTCATTGGGTGTTTCAAAATCTAAGTGGACTTTATCAATAATGGGTTTTTTACATGAACATTAGTAACATTTAGATATGATGATGGACAAAAAAGAGATTTTCTTTCTTAGTTTCCAAATATGTGAGTAACAAATATCCACTTTTCTAAATTACTCTTGCTAAGTGTCCGCATTCGCTCTCATAAAATTACTTCGTAAAACTGCATCGCATATAATTACTACCAGGGATGGCAATGGGCGGGTTTGGGTCGGGGTACACTCCCCTATCCCCGCCCCATGTCTAAAAAGTTCCTCTCATCCCTGTCCCATCCCCCGTTACTCCCAGACCCGCCCCATCCCCGCCCCACCCCGTTGTCCCCCACGGGTGCCCGCCGGTGCCCCATATAGATTTAATTTAACGTATTTGCAAATACTTTTAATCTCTTACTATCGTATTATAAATATATGTAGTGTGATTCCAATAATGAGAACGATGCTTAACGTAGGAACACTCACATTTAATCCAATTTGATACACAATAGAGTCCTTCTAGTGCACATTTGGACTTTACCCACATTTGGACTTTGCTCAATACAAGCTAATATAAATAATCACGGTGACACTTTTATAAATATTATGCCAGATACAAACAAGTGCATTGCGCGAGCACATTGTCTTTCACATTGGGGGTAAATGTGGTGTTCGCACGTTCTCACGTTAAGCATTGTTCTCATTTGATCATAAACCTATATATATCTACACATAGTGATATGACACACACAAACGCAACACTGAAGTATTGTGTTTGTTAAAAGTTAATACCGTCAATTTTAATAATTCTTCAATTTGAATAAGTTTTGTGAATTGAAGACAGTTAAAGTAAAAATATAAGTAAACATATTATCATCATGTCCGTCGTTTCAAAATTCTCAAAAATTATAATACAATTAATTACATATTACATATAAATGTGTGTGTATTTATTTACTCACTTTCTCACTCTTAAAACTCATAAAACATTTATGATAAATATTATTAATCATTACTAGCTTATTATTATTCTAGTATAATATATATTAATTCATTAACCATGATTAAACCGTATACAATTATGTATGTCTATATTTATATGTGTTTGTTATATACTACATATAATTAAATTTAATATGTGTGTACATATTTATATATGTATATATATATATATATGTTTGAGAATATATTAATAACGGGGACGGGGCAGGGACAGGGCGGGTGTAGCAATACCCGTTCCCCGCCCCATATTTTAACGGCGTAAAAAGATCTCACCCATCCCCGCCCCCACCCCGCCCCAAGCCCCACCCCATCCTTCCCCCACGGGGCGGTTCCCCACGGATCCCCGCCCCCATTGCCATCCTTAATTACTACTCCGTATATTTCATTGCGTCATCTCTAACCACAGGGCCGTTTTTTATGGGGGCCCAAAATTTTAAATTTCTTTTAGTATTATATAGTACGGAGTAATATTATGTATTCATACTAAAATGCAATTAGTAACAAAGAAAAATATAGATGCATGATATTTTTGTTGGTTCTTTTACAATTTTAATTGTTTTTAATGAGTATTTAATTGATTTGAGTATAAGTATTTGGATTGATATTTTTTTAAAAAAAAAATTATAATGATTTGGAGCCTCAATTTTACATTTACAACCAGGACCTTGTCCAACCACGGTTCTAAAAGGACTTATTAGGCGGCGCTAAGGCATGCCTATGCCCAAGGCGCAGGGCAAGTGCCCAGCTCACCGATAAGGCATGCTCCAAGGCGTATTAAGCCATTAAAATGCAGAAAACTTTTTAACTAAAGGCTTGTTAGGCCATGTTTTATCCACGTGAACCACGTAGCAGCTTAGCTCTTTGGCAAAAATCCGCTCGGATGATTGACTTTAATATATAGGCAGGCGAGAGGAGGAATTGTCTCCACTTTTCCGGTGTGGGAACATTAGGATAGTACTATGTTGCACGCATCTGTTATATATTCTGCTTGTTTGCATTCTTTTTTTATTTTGGCTAAAGAGTCAAATAGGCCCTTGAACTTAACTGACTTAAAGTATTTAATTAGTCCCTTATATAGGAGGTTCTGCCCGGCCGTCGCTAATTGGGCGGGTCCTGGTGGAATTTTTTGATGAAATTTTTTGAGCATCTTCTTCATTAAGTCTAGTTTACACATACCAAATTTCAGCTAAACATTCAACCGGGAAGGCAGTCAAATGATTTTCCGAAATGCACTCTGATGTTTAACTTCGTAGTTATCTTCAAAAAATCATTTGACTGCCTTCCCGGATGAATTTTTAGCTGAAATTTGGTATGAGTAAACTAGACTTAATGATTTTAAAAAAAATCATCAAAAAATTCTACCGGGAACCGCCCCAATTGACGACGGTCGGGCAAAACCTCATATATAAGGGGCTAATTGAACACTTTAAGTCAGTTCAAGGGCATATTTGACCCTTTAGCCTGTTTTTCGATTTTACACCTACGTCTATTACCGTATATTGCTAATATAAGTATATAACTATAATATTTAGTTCAAATCACTTTATTCTCTAATAATAATCATTAAAATATTATTGTTATATTACTATTTTTCTCTTAATTAGCTTGTTTGTTAAAATAATATGATTATAATTGTTATTAGTATTATCACTATGAATGTCATATTTTATAATTTCTTACTTTATTGTAGATGCATATATTATGAGTCATTGACACGATTTGAAAACTGTATTGTCCGAAAATGTAAAAATCCAATGCATTTACATGGTATATTCTATATTACAAGCGAATATTTACTAATAGCTCCTTTTGCAGTATTTTTCACATGTTATAGTACATGTTTTATTATATTTATTAGTTTTTAAGATCAAGTTTTTGTGTGATTGGTAATTTATACTCCGTATTTGTTAGGTATAGGACTCGATCGACAAACCCTCTATGTTGAACACCGGGAAAATCTGATGTCTTGGAATGACATTGTCTATTTTTTTAATTTAAATATTTAAAAATAGATTTACAAATATTAAAATAAGGGATAAAAAATTAAAATGCCTTTTCACGCCTAAGTCTCGTCTAAGCCCGCCTAGGCTTCAAAGGCTTAAGGCTTGGCCGTGCCGCCTCAGCACGCCTTACGCCTTTTATAACATTGTCTCTAACCATTAATGCTTCTTTTTAATTTTAAAATTATTTCTCAAGATAGATAATCCCTCAGTCCCAAATTTTAAGATACATTTACTATTCATTTGGTCAACATAAATCACTCTTAATCTTATACTTTATATATTAAAAGTTTATGAAATTTGGATAATTTTTTGCAGGCTTTGTAGCGCTTTTAATGTAGTTTCTGAATGTGTAAATTTTATTTTCTAAAATTAATTTGAGTGTTGACATGAATCAATTTGCTTTATCATCGGTCAAACATCGTAAACCGTAAAGTATCATACAAATTGGGACGGAGGGAGTACTACGCAGTTGGATATGCAAATATATGTATCTTAAATATTTAATTTAATATACTAAATTTATGAGAACACGATTTCAATCTATTTTTGTTATTATCGTTCCTGTTACTATCGCTCCGGTTACTACCGTCTCAGTTACTACCGTCCCATATACTATCACTTCAGTGAACATCGTATAAATTACTATCGCTCATGTGACCACCGTCCCAATTGCTACTGCCATAGTTACTACAGCCCTAGTTATTACTACCGCTCCGGTGATCACTCCGTTCCATTTACTACCACTCCAGTGACCATCATCTCAATTACTACCGCTCCAGTGACCACCGTTCTAGTTACTATTGATCTAGTTACTATGCTCCAATGACCACTGCTATAGTGACAAATTAAAATCCAAAATCCATTTGTGACTAAAATCATTGGTGACTAGCTAAAATCCATCAGTGACCACCAATCATTGACCACTTATGCAGTGACTACCGCCGGTCATAGTGACCAAACTTATTGTTCACCATAGTGAATTCTCGACTAGTGACATTGTCATCCATCATGATTTGTCGGCTAGTGACATCGCCGCCCATAGTGACCTCGCCAACCACAGTTACCTACCGGCCAATGACCTTGCCAACCACAATTACCTGTCAGCCAATGACCTCGCTGGTCATTTATTAATTTTTTTTTGTCAGTGGCAAACTGCCTCGATTATGACCAACACCCTGACCACCAATGAAACGACCACCCCGGGGGTGGCCGACGGTGCACTATCAATAACCATCCACATCACAAATGAATTTCAAATCCACAGATTCTCCAACATGGAAACATATACGATGAACACACACCACTGCGAAGAAATTAATAACTCAGAAAGAAGAATCCTACTTCTGCAAACCATTAAAGGAATACAGTCACAAAATATTCCTTTGGAAATACAACACCAAGTCCCTAGCCTTCCCCAAAAAAAATTAAAAAGATTCAAAATTCAGTTGGCCTCCGATGCCCATTCTGCCTCACGGAATGAGAATGTTAGAAAATTATTTATTGTGTTCAATTTAATTGTGTTTATCTTTGATTAATTAGATTTGTAGTGGCGGACATTGTAATTAATTAGGAGCCATTTAATTAAATTAATCAGGCCCATCCTATTGTAATTATATATATGTTTATATATAGAGGCAGTATGACCGAACATGCCTAGGAGTTTCACAATTGCAATTTTTGCATATCATTCTCGAAACTCCAAGGCTACGCACGTTCTCTCTCTCTACACTTCTCTATTGATAAGTTGTTCTTCATCTATGCATCACTATGATTATCAATAAAGTTGCGATTTGATTTTATTTGTTATACATATAATTAACGATTCACTATTAGTTCATTATTCGATTGTTGAACTAAGTACTGACAAGCTTGAACTTTCGATGTATTTCTATGCGTATATAAGTGTGTAGCACAAAGTCACGCAATCTGGTAGAAGGAATGCACTGTCTATGACCACGTCCAAATTGCTCTGTTCTTTCATTCTGGGAATTCGCCTCTGCAAGAAATGGCACATATTTCCCATCTAATGACTTGGGGTCTGGTACCGATGTTGTCACTGTCACCTGCCTTTCATTGATAACTGTTGGGTCCACCTGTTGAGAAGTCTGAGGTAAGGTTTGAGGAAGTTGAATCGTAGTCTCAGCTGTCTAAAGCGAAATTTCCCGCCCCTTTCAATGGATGTTCTACTTCTTCATCAGGGAATAGTATATATATTATCAATACTGGGTTTTGATTCTTATACAACCTGCGCAAAAGGAAATATTTGTTAACAGAAAATGACATATCGTGAAAAAATAATTTTTCATGTCTCACGGTTATAGACACACCATCCCTATTTATCATAAGGATAACTAAGAAGAACACCAGGATCCCTCGGTTAGCAAATTTGTCCCCTTGTTTATCTTTGTTGTGCACGTAGCATAGGCACCCAACCACTCTCAAATGTCCAAGAGCTGTTGGAGTGCCAAAGAGTCTTTTATAAGGTGTTTTTTCTTCCAAAAGAATCGACGGAGTTCTATTGATAGGATAGGCCGCAGTAAGCACATTTATCCCAAAAATCAATTGGCAAGGATGCCTGAAATTTCAAAGCCTGCGACACATTCAGAATATATCGATGTTTCCTCTCAACGCACCCGTTTTGTTGAGGTGTATCTCGACAGAGACATCATGAACAATTCCATGTTTTAAGAAATATTGTTTTAAACATGTAAATTCAGTATCATTATCTGAGCGAAGAACTCGAATATCAGACTGGAATTGTCTTGTAATAAGAGTAAAGAAACTTAGCAAAGTCTCTTAAACTTGATGTTTATGATGCAAAATACACACTCATGTTCCCCGAGAATAATCATCCACAATAGTAAAAAAGTAACGTTCCCCATTGGTGTCAGGTGTCGGATAGCCCCCCCACAAATCGCAGTGATTGAGTTACAAAAATGCTAGTCATTTTATTCATAAAGTATGGATACATAGACCTAGTTTGTTTTGCACGAATACAAACATCACACAAACTATTATTCAAAAAATTAAGATTACCTCCAGATTCACATTCTTATGAAACATAATTTAAAACTTTATAAGATGGATGACCGAGCCATCTATTCCACAACTCTGATTTACTCCACCTTGTGTTTGCTGCACAAGCCATGTTAACATATGAGAAGTTGTACAATCCTTTCTGCTGCCTACCCACACCAATCACTTTCCTCATGATGGGGTCCTAAATAAGACAAACTTTTTTAGTAAACTAAATACTACATCTCATCAATCAATTGTGAAGCAGATATGAGGTTGCATATTAACGTAGCAACATATATCACATGCTTCAAAACAAGTCTATCATTCAACAATATTGTTCCTTCTTTACAAGCAGTCACAAATCAATGGATAAACCAATAGTGCTTTCATGTATTTCACATATATCAGAGAGAAGTATAATATCAGTAGTCATATGATGTGAGGTGCTTGTATCAATCAACCATTAGGGGGAAAATATTGCCTAAGAGTAATTCTGTGACACCCCTCTAAGGTTGAGATCCCAAAAATTGTTTGAGAGCAATCAACTGTTCTTGAGTAAAACTATTAGCAAATAGATGTAATGTACTACGAAAGTAAAACAACGGATGTTTAAAATTTTCCCGAACAGATCTTCCCTGATTATGACAAAAACTATGATGAATGAATGAGTGTAAAATGAAGAACTATTATTTGATTCAAATGAAGATGTACACTAACTATGATGAGGGAATTCACGTATTTATACAATAGGTAAGAAAATAAATACTCAGAGAGTACTATATAAGGAATTATGAAAATAACAAATATGGACAAGGAAGTAACTAAGGGAAATCGCACTATGGGTCTCCAATAAGAAATACTAGTAAAGGCCTAGATATTACTAATAGACTTGCAGTTGACAAAAATATGAAAATATTTTGAATGGACGAAAAAGTGACAAAAACACAGAATTAAATGCTCGGCCCTTACATTCCCCACCGACCTAGCCTCTCTCATCGTAACTCACCTTCTTCTTCTTCAATCAATAAACGGTGATGCCCAACCCGAGACGGACAAACATTAGCGATTAGAGCACGAGAGACGATAGCGACAAACTCCAGTCGGCGCCACCCCATCGCCCTGCCGCTCCATCGTAACTCTTCTTGTTCTCACTCTCCTTCGCCGTTACTTGTCCTACCCACCGCCGCCATCACTGTAACTGAGGATCTAGGCTTCGTCATCGATGGAAGCACCACCCTGTTCCGTTCGACATACAGTTCGTGTCTCTGACTCTCCGTCCAGATCTCTGCTCCGCCTCTCCGTATAGGTTGCCCTTCAATCACCATCGTCGCACTCGAGCAGATTGGCATTGACGAGTTGACCGAATTTCTGGACGGCGAGCGACAGCGGTGAAAAGATCGGTGTTTAAGGATGACAGAGATCTGCGATTTGGTGTTCGTTAAAGCTCAGATGGGGGCGGCGCAGGTGAGCCGGAGGCTATGCTTACAGGCGGTGGTGCGGTTGGAGGTTTGGGTTGGAAGCTGTGGCTGAGGTGTGAGGCTGGGATCGGATCTGGGAGTTCGAAGCTGGGGTGGGCCGGCGGGCAGAGCTTGGGGTGGGCTAGGGTTAGTGTGTGGGACAGGGGTAGGGGCTGGCGGGGCAAAGAATGCAGTGTCACTATTTTCCTGTGTGGCCCGATAATACATGTAACTGGAGGCGGCGTAACTGGCGGTGGTGTCTCTGCAGCGGTGTCACTGACGGTGATTGTGGCGGTGTCACTGATGGTGATTGTGGCGGTCTCACTGGGTTAGTGACCTGAGTTGGCGGAGGTCACTGACTAGTGACCGGAGCTGGAGCGAAGTCAATGGTTAGTGACGGGGAAGTCACTCTGTTAGTGACTGGTGTAGACGGCGGGGTTACAGGTGCCGGCGATGGTGACATCCGATGTGGTGGGGTGTGAGGCAGTGGTGCTGGGGTTGTTGCAGTGACTACAAAACATGGACTAAAAGTCAAATTTTATAAAATGAAAATTACAATAATAAATGTAATAATATTAAGGACTTCGTACAAGGTATAAATGACTCTTGGTCACTTTTGTAGAAAATTTTAAAACGGGTCATATGATTGTCTTTTCTGTTTATTTTAGTAATATTGATAAAAAAAGGCCCTCAAATAATACACATATTGAAATGTTGTTCCTATCTTCTTGAGTTTGTAAATGTCACCACTCTATTGTCTGAATTGTTGTAAATGTGATCCTCGATTATCGTCAAATCTGAACTAACACTGTGGAAAAACAAATATTGCTTTAAAAAAATTGCATCAAATGTTTTCAACGTACTATAAAGTTACAATTGGGATAAAAGATCAAACGAGAAAATCCAATAATGTAGGTATTGAATGTTCAGATCACACAAAAAAATGTTTCTGAAATTCCAAAAAAATGTTACTACGTACGAAGTATCTTTTTTGAACACATTGTAAAAATCCTTTCCACCGTAGTTTTCGGTGGAGTAGGATATAGTCAATAAATGTTAGTAAGAAAAATCCAATTTTATAGACTATAATTAAGCGTTTGTCACAGATAAAAATACGACGTTTTCCATATCCCTAAATATTCACCGTAAATCTAATTGTAATAGTAGTAACATGAACATATTTTTTTGTTCGTTCACAATGTAAATTTATGACACTTTGATGACTACACCTCTATAAATCTTTAAGTATTTTAAATCATGTGTTCATCATAGGGGGGCGTTTGGTTGTTTACACATTAAAACTTTACATGCAAACTCATTGCATGTAAAGTGTAGGGATGTAATCATTTTACATGTAAAATATAAATACGTAGTACATTGTTTGGTGAGATATGTAAACTATTTTTTTAATACATGCAAAGTAAATACACTGTTTAGCTCAAAAAACAAGTTCATACGTAAACCTCCAATCAAAAAATCAAAATTAGCCTTATAAGTTTTCATGCCATCGTTTTTTAAGCAAACAAATTGCAAATTTGTGAACTTGTTAGATAATACGGGATAGACCACAAAATAGCAGAAAAAAGAAAAGAAAGAGCGTCCACTATTGATTCAAGAAGAAGAAGATCGAAAGGAACTTCCTAAAGAAGAAAAAGCTATATGAGTATTTTGCAAAATAATTAATGATAAATGATAGATACTAATTATAAGTCATAAAGAAAGGTCGGTCATCGGTGCTGCTGTTTGAGGAATTATTTTTTAAAGCAAAAGAATGGGTGTTGCTGCTGTTGAGATGAATTGGTGACGATGTCTGACGTGAAGAACGGGTCGACTGCATTGAATTTTTTAATTCAATCAATTTTATACGGAGTATTAAGAATGTAAACTAGTTTACCACCCTTCCCCTATGTAAAGTGGTTTGCATGGTACAGTGTAAAATGATTCAAAATAGTACCCTACAGTTTACATTAAATTATCGTACCAAACGGTGTAAAATGTTTGCATCCCTACACTTTACATGTAAAATGATTACTTCACACCTTAACAAACGCCCCCATAAGTTTACATTTTCGAATACAAAATATATAGTAGGAAAAATGACCACGATATTACTCTTGGAGTTTGCTGATGGATAGTCTACCCGGGGTATCTTATCCGAGAGGTTATTGCAGGAATAACTAGAGAGAAGTCAGAGCAAATAGGAGGAGAGAGAGTCGATTTTATTAAATGAACTCAGCGTGTCAGAGTTGGGATCGTTTACAAGGAGAAATGAGTTGCTATTTATAGCAGCAATAAATGCGATGAGAGTACACGTGTCAGTAATCCAACGGCCGAAGGGTCACATCAATCGGGTGGCACTGGCAGTGGCATGTTCACCGCATTGAATGCGGTGGGTGGATGTGACGTCGCATTAAATGCGGTGGTTGGCTGTCTCCAAAGGGAATCTTCGATGATTGAGCTGTTTAGCCGAAGGCTCCTCGTGGGGTCGAGGGCTTCGTCTTATCGAGGGCTTCGTGTAGCAGAAGGCCTGTGTGGCCGAAGGCTTCCCTGATGCCGAGGGCTCATACTGCCGAGGGCTCCTGTTTCTGCCATTTTTCCCCAGTAGCTTCGTATGCTCGAAACTGGCTGCCCTGTGTAATTTGGAGCCTTCGGCCAAGGAGGCCGAGGGTACCCCAGTGTGTATTCTGGGCTCCTTTGAGGCTTGGGCCGTAGCATTTGGTCCTGAGATGCTCCCTGGGCTCAATGGGCCTGTGCAGGAGAAGTAGGAGTCTATGGGCCGGGGGTTCCTGGGCCATATACTCCATCATTTGCATTTCAAAAAATATGATCCTTTTTAAATTTTCCTTAAATATGACGTTACGTTAGTTTAGCAGTGCCTGTTTCTTCTTCCAAAAAGCTCCGTCTTCATGGCAGCACTTCTCCATTTCTCCAGTCCCTCGCAGGAATCGCAGCACCTAGCAGAAACTTCGCCTTCGACTCCGGATTCAACACACGTCGCCGCCTTACACCGCGGCTATTTCTTCATTTTTCTGTCCATATTTCCAGATCTATGGCGAGGATCTAGATCTCTTCGCGGGTTGATATTCTTCTTCATCACCACCGCACTCCAGCCACCGCCGACGCCTTCCTTCTCCTTCCTTATGGTCTCCGTCTCTGATCCGCTGGCATTCGACGTCGCCACCTCTATCGCCGCCTCTGCCGGCCTCCAGCTCGCCGCCCGATTATATTCTTCTTCTCGTTTTTTTTCAGATCTGAGGTGAAAGGACCGACCGGAGTTACGAAGGTGGTGAACGACGGCTAGGGTTGCGATGGTGGTGATGGGCTGGAGCTGAGATGTGTTCGCTGGGGCTGAGATTTGTGCTGGTGGTGATGGGCTGGAGGTTAGGGGAGTGATGATTTTGGGGTTTGGGGCTGAATGTTTGTAGGTGATTGGTGTTGAACGGTAGAGATGAGTTTGCAGGGTAGGAGAGGCAGGGGGATAGGGGTAATGGGCAGATGGTAGTTGGTGGTTCCGGTTGGATGGCCGCCGGAAAATTATCCGGCGTAATAGAGGGTGACAGTGAGTCAGTGACTAGCCGGGGACAGCAGTCACCGGCTGGGAGGGGCAACAGTCACTGGCCGTGGGACGGTGAAGTTACTCTGACGGTGGAGTCACTGTGGCGGTGAGTTAGTTTGGCGGCGGAGTCACTTTGACCGGAGTCACTGAGATAGTGACTGCCGCCGGCAGCGGTGCTGGCGGCTGAGGTGGTGTTGGGGTCTGGAGGTGCCGGTGGCTACCAAAGATGACTATTAATCAAATGTGTAGAAGGATTAATAAAATATTAAAATAATAAATATATGATTAAAATTAAGGGATAAATGACTTTTAGTCACATTTTTTTGAAAAATTTAAATCATGTCACTTTTTTTTTTATCTTTTTCATTCATTTTAGTAATATTGGAATAAAAGACCTATATAGTAATGGTGCTAACATAACTTTTTATGTAATGTTCGGGGTATATATATTACATATGTAAGTTTGGGATACTTACGTCACATTCTTTCAAAGTTCGGGGTATTTAAATTATTTCCCCCTCTAATTAATAGTCAATTAAATATGTTAATGGTCAAAGACCTTGTTTGTAAATATCAAAACACAAGTGTTGCATGCAGGACTTGCAGAAATGTTTAGTGTATTTAAATTATTTTCTTAACATTATAAATTTACATCTAATTAGCTAAAGAAAAATACATTATCATAGTGCGGAAATAACTTGTTTTATATATAAAATTGGATTATCTTCATTATATATAAAAGTTTGTGTATTACATCCGTCCCAAAATACTTAGTCAAATTCAAAACTTTGACCAACTATATATATTTATTGAAATTTATTTGTAATATAAAAATAATATGAAAATATTCTTTGTTAAAAATATTTTCCTGAAAGTATAAAATTTAAACTTTCATAATATCATGCTAATCAAAATCATGATCTAAATTTTATGATTTTATTAAGTATTTTGGAACTAGGGGTGCAAACGAGCCGAGCCGAGCCCGAGTTTATGTAGGCTCGAGCTCGAGCTCGAATTATATTGTATTGGCTCGAGCTCGAGCTCGGCTCGAACGAGCTTAAAAAATCCGGGCTCGAGCTCGGCTCGCAAATATTGATTTGGCTCGATTTGGCTCGACTCGGCTCGGTTCGGCTAGATACTTTTGGTTCGTTCAAAAGTTACAAGTTCGATTAGCTCGAAAGTTCGTGTTCGAACTCGAGCTCAAGTATGAAACAATCTTTAAATATTTGTGCTTAACATTTGCAAATTGCAATTTACATGCCCAACAACTAAACCTTACGGGAAAATAAACAAAATATAATTCTAACTTCAAGTCTCTACCCAATTGTACTTCTAAGTTCTAATACTTCGTATAAATCAAAAGTGGTCAACTCATTAAGAAATAGTGGATGAAACTTTGATTATTTTTGTTAAATTACTTTATAATTAATAATATCTCCCAGGTCCTCATATACATTTATGAATCAGTATTTTATATATATATATATATATATATATATATATATATATACACACACACACATATATATATATATATTAACTTATAAAAAAAATAATTTATATTATACTTCGTATATTACATATACTAATATATACTCCGTATTATATATTAATTTGTATAGTATATTAATATATTACATATATTAATTAAATACACACACATATAACTAGGCTCGCGAGCCGGCTCGCGAGCTAGCGAGCCTAAAATCAGTAGGCTCGTTTATGGCTCGACTGCTTAACGAGCCGGCTCGAGCTCGGCTCGAGCTCGAGTTTGACCGATCTCGATCCGAGCTTTGACCGAGCGGCTCACGAGCGGCTCACGAGCGGCTCGGTTCATTTGCACCCCTATTTGGAACACATGTAATATCACGCACCCTTCAAGATTTAGAGTATTTACGTTTTGGTTATAATGCATATAGTAACGGCTAGACTTTTTGGTTTGGATGTAATTACCTCATGCACTGTTTCAACGGGAGAAGACTGGTCCACAACACTTTTCGTCGTTAACTTTTTCCCTATAAGGCAAATCCCCACAGACTTTCCAATAAGACAATGCGTTTGTAACGACTACATATTTCTCAAATAGGGAGAAAGACATAAAGAGGACTAAAATAAAAGTTAAAAAGTTAGAAAAGAAGGGCAATTTTGGAAACACGGAAAATTTTAGTCTTATTTAAAAGTTAAAAAGTCATACGTCCTGCATGCGTATATGCAGTGATTTTTGGTCATATCTGGAACCATTTCACTTTCAAATATTGGTCTCTTACCTATATTTAGTTTATACCTTGTATAGTTTTGTCTTCATTGTTGTACTTGCTTCCTAGAATAGCTTTTTAGAAATCTCACATTCTTACTTGTCCAACAAAATAAGATTGAAAATAAATCCATTTGTTGTGTATTGTACATTTGTACTAAACCGTCTAAACGTAGTATGCAACTTATATATACGAAAAGTTTCACTAACCAGTATCTGACTTTTTTATATATAAAGAAAATAGAGAAAAATGAAGAAACAATTTAACCAATAAATTGCCTGTAAGGCATTTAAAACGGTATAAAATGACATTCGAGAATGGAGACATGAGGAAGAGAGTCCAAAGATATAAAATCACATTACTTGGCATAGTAATAGTGTTGGACCCGGTTCGGGCCGTCCGACCTGGGTACTGGCCCGGCCCGCTACTGTGCGAGCCCGGCCCGGCGAACCAGTTTTGGTTCCGGGCCTAGGCCCGGTCCCGGGGGTTAGTGTGGGGCGGTCCCGGTTCACCCCCTTCTTTGGAACCGGCTCGGGGCAGGCCCGGGCCCGGTTCAGGCTTTTTTTTTCATTGTTTTGGGCTTTTTCCTGAGTTGGGCTGGGTGTTTTGGGAGGGTTTGGGGGTGGGGGTAGGGGGGGTCGGGGGTTGATAAGAAAAGAGAAAAAAACATGGACCCGGGCCTTCTACCAAAAATCAAAAGCCCGACCGGGCCTAGGCCCGACTCGATCGGACCCGACCCGGACCGAGTCCATGACTACATAATAATAACTAGAACAGAGGAGAAAAAAAGAATAATCTGTATTTGAAACTGAAAACACGAACTAGCAACTAGTGTTTGGAGCATGATTGAAGATGTTAGAAATAGTTCATTTGCCGATCATGTTTTCCAATTGAAATAATTGCCCAAATATTACTCCCTAAGTTTCAATTTCTAAAAATATGACCACTCCCATTTTTTCCAAAAAACTGTCCCGCACTGCACTCTTCTCCATCCGCTTGAGAATCGTCTTCTCCATCGCGTGAGAAGCTCTCCAGATCCACACATCCACCAGAGCACCGCCAAAGATAATATAGCTCGCCACCTCCACCAGTAGACGCCGCCCGTCCTCCATTTCGATTCTCTTCTTCGTCTTTCTTTTCGCAACCGGTTCCGGATCCTCCAACATTGGTGGATGAGGGCTCGGATCTGTCGGATCCACCATCCTCGAAGTCGAAGAGGAGCCTGAACAGCCGGACCGCCTCTTCCTCCGCTACTTGGCCGTCTCTGCTTGGCCAATGCTTCGTGGTTTCAGATCTGGGCGGTTGGCGGCTATGGAGATGGACTGGCCTGCTAGAGAAGGGTCTATGGCCTGTCCGTGGGGGGTTGGGGGCTGTGGAAAGATGGTGGATGAGGCCGGGAAGGGGGGCTTTCCGCTGGGGCTGGGGGCTGTGGAAAGGGGGCTGGGTGAGGCAAGGGATGGGGCTGGGTGAGACAGAGGAGGGGGCTGGGTGTGGTGATTGCAGTCATTGGCCGGAGTTGGTGGCTGCCAGAGGCGGCGGCCGGCGGAGGTAATAGGGCGGTGCGGCGGCAGTAAATCAGCTGTGCTGGCGGATGTCATTGTGACGGTCACTGTGGCGGTAGCCGGGCAGTCAATATGGTGGGAGTCACTGTGGGGTGGAGTCACTGTGGCGGCGGGTAGTATCTGTGACCGGTGGGGCAGTCACTGTGGCGGCGGGGCAGTCACTGTGGCGGCGGGGCAGTCACTGTGGCGGCGGGGCAGTCACTTTGGTCAGTGGGACAGTCACTTTGGTCGGAGTCACTTTGCCCGGAGTCACTTTACACTGCAGGGTTAATTGTCATGTTAGTCACATTTTTAGAATTTTTAAAAAGAGATCACTTTTTTATCTTTTATCCAATTTTTAGTAATATTGGAATAAAAAGGCCTTTCCAATTTATCAGTTCGGTTAGTAAGTTTTTTCTCTTAGAAATGTGACTTTTGATTTCACACGCTAGATTTTTTTTTTTACGAAAGTAAGATTGTAATCACAATATTCTAAAGTCAGGATTTTATCAAACTTTAGCAAATTCGGGCGTAATGGTGTAGACACGTTTTGTTAGCTCGACGTGGTCAGATGTTTTCAAAGAAACAAAATAAGTGTTTATTAAGGGGAGTAAAATTGACAAAGACATAAGATAAACTAAAGAGATAAAATGAAAAGCTAAAATTAATAATATTTCAAATAGAATTGGTTAATTCTTTCTCCCGTCATTTCTGATATTCATTGAAACATAGTTACATGTATGTAGGGGTGGGCAAACAGGTACTGGAACCGCGGGTCGGGCCGGGTAATACAGGTTCGGGACGGGTTAGGGTCGGGTCCTAATGTTAGAAAATTCAAACGGTTCGGGGCGGGGCGGGTCCTGAAAAACTTAGGAACCGAACGGGTCTTAAAATTTGAAAAAACGGATACCCGGACCGAACCGTTTTAAAATATTGTTCTAATAATTTCTAAAATATTTAATACTACTATAATATAATATACTAACAACACAAGAAATCTCTTTATGTTCTCATGTTTAGACAAAGACTTCTAATTCAAGAAACTTCCTAGTCTATTAAAAACTAGTTTCCTAGTCCATATAAATAAACTCTTAAACTATTTTCCTCTATTCTCTATTCCAAATGCATCAAACTTTTTTTCTTTAATATTTTGTAAATAAATACTCTTACTCAATGAAGTGTGACATATTAATTTAATTGTCTTAATTTTACTTATACTTGAAGATTTAATAAGCTTTAAATTTTTTCATAGACGAATATGTATAGTAGCTAGTTTAAGTTCTTATGAATTTATGGTCATATCCTTTTAATTGGTTTATGACCGATGATTACCATTTTAATTAAGTTAATTCTGTGTTGTTTAATTTATAGATTTGTGGTTCGATACTTTGTTAACTAATTTAATATGTTGTCTTATACTTTTATTTTGAATAAATACTATATTATGGTTACATTAATATGTAATTAATTTGAGAATTTTATAATTTACTAGAAACTTTGCTTGCATACTCATACTTTTTTTTTACAAAAACGGAACCGAGGACTCGGACCGAACCGGCCCGTTTCAAACGGGGCGGGTAAGGTTCGGTTCCTATTTTGGAAATTGGTATACCCGGACCGAACCTACCCGCTAAATGGAACCGACGATTCTTGAAAATTTATCGATTACCCGGACCGACCCGGACCGCGCCCACCCCTAGTTACATGTGAAGTAATTGTCCCAATTGATTCAATTTCAACTCAATATGAGTTGAAGTGATCATACAAACGTAAGAATTGAAACTTGCATAGGTAGGAAACCAGCGTATATTGGTTGCATTTAGAACATTGTGTTATGTTTTAATCTCATTTAGAAAAATGCTTAGCCTAAACTGATCACTTATGGCGCTTAAGGAGGGTTCATGTGGGCTGTCATGAATAAAGGGGAGATGACGATAGAAGGAACAATTACAACACTACAACAAAGTTTAGTTTTTGTAGCATATACAAAATGTTGCAATATGTGTAAAAAATGTCACAATATATCAAATGCAGCATTTTTAACATGCTGCATCCGAGTGGTGTTACAATAGATGTATTGTAGCAATTTATTATTTTATTGTAACAATTTTTGGTACAATATTGTAACAATAGATACTCTATTGTAGCAATTTATAAGGTGCTATAAAATGGATGCTATAATAGACACTTTTTAATTTGTACTAGTGCAAGATAAGAAGTGAATGATCGCTATGGAACTAAAACATCAATCCTACCAAAAATATTGTTTGTAGACGCCATTTTTGTTTAAGCCTCATACACGTTGTTTATGAAGATGTGTTTTGGTCTTTGAACACTATTTACACTCAAATAGAACTTTCATACACAACGTGTATGGAGAGCATGTACAAATTGAACCCTATGGAAGGAGTAGAGCTTTACAAAAGAAATTATGTTAAACTGTTAGTTTTGTAGGATATGCCGGCTTTAGTTTAAAGTTTAAACCCTTGATTTGCTCCCATTATTCCTGGGTATCCTGTCGAGTGTGTCGTACTTAAACAGATGCTCTTACCCTCCTTTGGTTCAAATTGAATGAATGTCGTCAAATATTCGAAACGATTGGATCTCCTCGATTATCGAAAATAATACGGAGTACATAATTTATTTAAAAAAGTTTTTATTTCAAATAATTAGAATGATTATCTACATTAATTTCAGTTAATTTAAATTACAAAAGTAATTTCAACCCTATTTTCTTAAGGGAAAATGGAAACTAATAATCCAACCTTTTAGCGGTCTTCTTTCAATAATCCCACCTTTTGATTATTCATGAATAATCCGACCTTTGCACCTCATCTTCATTCATTGGTCCCTCGTCGTTGGTTAATGACCTACTATTCCAAGTTATTTTCTTATCTTTCCAAAATATTATCTTTGTGAAAGATGAGATTTATGGTATAATGATTTGCAAAGATAAGAAAATAGCTTGGAATAGCAGGTCATCAACCGGTCAAGGACCAGTGAATGAAGATGAGGTGCAAAGGTTGGATTATTCATGAATAATCAAAAGGTGGGATTATTGAAAGAAGACCGCTAAAAGGTTGGATTATTAGTTTCCATTTTCCCTTTTCTTAATTATACGTATCAGAGTGAAATTAAAAGTTATGAAGTACTCCGTACATGTTTGATAAAAGATTGGAAAAGTTGACAAGAATAATCACACCTTTTATTGGTATTTTTATAATAATCTCACCTGTACGTAATCTTAGAACAATCGCACATTTACACCTCATCTTGACATCTTCTTTCTTTTTGTTGATGATCTACTATACCAAGTTTTTTACCATTTCTTTGAAAATCATATAAATAATCTAACTTTTCACTTTTTATTATATCTTTATGCAAGTGAGATTATTTATATAAGATTTTCAAATAAAGGGTAAAAACCCTGGTATAGTAGGTGATCAACAGGTCAGTGTCCAATGAAAGAAGATGAGGTGCAAAGTTGTGATTATTCTGGAATTATGTAAAAGTGAGAGTATTATGAAAAGACTGGTGAAATTAAAGGTTGGATTATTCTTGTCAATTTTTCGTAAAAGATTTGCTTAAAAAGGTGATAAATTAAAAATAAGAGTTATCAAAGGGTACTTAATTTTTAAGAGTGCTAATTTTATTTTAAAAAAAGAGTGCTAATTTCATCCGAACATTTCCGTATCATTTTGTGATAAAAAAAATTCAAATTATATATACATACTTTCTTAAACTCTTCTCAAAAAATTCTTTATACCAATCTAAGTCAATGTGCAACCTTAGCTTGTTGGTCGGGCCATTGTAAATGGTTATACTTTCCTGATGAAAACCGGACCGGATACTGTAACCTTGAGACTCGGTGATCAAACCGAGTCGACTCACTCTTCGTCCTAAAAGTCAGCATCTTCCCCTGTTCGCTAACCTTCAAAGTCTCAAGTTTCTCAGTCAACTCTGCCACCAAACTCCACATAGTCTGAGCCAATGGCTTGGTCACGCCCATGAACAGGGCAGATAATCTCCCCTTACAGTCTTCCAGTCTCCTCAAATCACAGGCCAACTCGACCGAGTCAGCGAAGCTCAGGCGACCGAATCGCTCCCGGAACTCGCCGAGTCGCGGTAACAGCTCTTTCACTATGGATGTATAGTCGCCGGATAAGAAACCCATCACATCGTATAACAGCTTGTTGCCTTCCAGGAGGAGGGAATCCGGTGCTCTGCAAATCTCCTCGATCACTCCGATCAACGAACTAACGTCTCTGATTAAATCGGCGTTCATGAAAAGTGAGATCCTTTCGGACCTTTGATCTTTATCGGCGCCGGCGCCGGTAGATGAGCACAGGAAGTAGCCCGTCACACGGGAAGCAGAGAGTAAGGTTTCCAGGTACCGGGCGTAGAATCTGACCCATGCCGAGAGCATCCACGTGGCGGTGGTGGCGCCGTCGCGGAAGGAGGCGAGCTTAAGATAGTTCCGGCTGCCGGAGATCGGAGAGTTGGAGAGGCGATCCTGGAGGATGAACGGGCCGCGCTTGATGACGTGGTGGATGACCAGGAGACACTTCAGGGCGACGACGCAGTCCCCGGTGCGGTGCAGCCGGTCCATGAGGGCGCGGACGATGGTGGACGCGGTGGCGCGTGAGCCGTCACCGAGGGAGAGAAGGGCGGAGAGGTGGCAGTCATCTGGCGGCGCGTGTGGCGAGTGGGATGTGACGCGGAGGACTGCTAGGTGGAGAGAGAGGTTGCTCGGTTTCGAGACGAAGGCGGCTTTGGATTGGGAGACTTTGTCTTTGACGATTCCGATGAGATGTCTGAGGTTTGAGATTCTTCCCATCGGCGATGAATGAGTTGAAAGAATGGGATTGGAAAGACGGATTGCTGATTAGGAAGAGAGCGTGGTGGGGGAATATATCATTTAATTCGAGATTTTTAAACATAAATACTCTCTAATAAAGAACTTTCTTTAAGTTGAAACTTATTAAGAGTATGTAATCATGGGTTAGTTGCTTATAAAATTTGCCTTATAAAGATCTTTTCTTTAGAAGGTATCGCAATATAGGGACTAGGGAGTACTATTTCAATCATTCTTAAAAGTTTATAATTGTGGTCAAATTTTTAAAGTAGGAGATATATTATGTGTGATGAATTTACTAATTTAGCATCTAAAAGGATGTCTTTTTAATTGTTTTCAGCCCCAAATTACACCAGGTCAGACTTCCGTAATTTTTTGGGATGAAGGGGGCTTATATTAGAATTAAAGCATTCAGCAAGGATCTAAAATAACAAGAGTACCACCGACAACCATCCGCGCTTGGGCCAGACTTTGAGTTAATCACCTTTAATAAAGCAGTATAACTCGTTGATCCTAAATTGGGCATAATTGAGCCAACAGTGGTTACTGCAGAACTCTCATCACCCGAGCCTAATGCAAGAGTCTTACAAAACCAACCAAAATAAAAACCAAAAAATTTAGTCTGAACATGAAACAAACTATAAAAAGCAATTATAAAATAAACACCAACGTGGAACTTTTGCACCCTCAGCTGCACGAACACATCAGGCGGGTTTAGGAACTCAGACCCGCCTCCTCCCCGTTTTTTGCTTTGTCCAGCACCATCTCCTCACCTGAGTTGTTTTCCTGATCCAGGTCCTTCCAGACTCACCTGCGCTTCTGGTCAACCGAGACCTCCCCTGCACTGCTCCTATCCTCATCCTTTGTGCCACTACTCTCTGTCTCATCTACACTCCCCTTACTTCCCTGTCTCCGAAAGCCTTCAATTTCTTGATGAGCCCTCCTGTGCTGACTTTGACCCCCCTGTTTGTCCACCAACCACTTACTGCCTCTTGTGGGACTTGTCTTTCTCCCCCCACCTGCTCTAAGATCAGCAATAAAAGTTTCCTCCAGAGCAATATCCTCCACGTATTTCAATGGACAAAATTTTTCAGAGTGTCCCATGATTCCACAGAAAAAACAAAAACTCGGTAATTTTTCATACTTAAAATCTACCCAGTGTCCTTCACCCCTCTTGGTCAACGTAGATCCCTTTTTCAGGGGTCTTCTCACATCCATCTTCACCCTAACTCTCAAGTATGAACATCATTTTTTGTTAAAGTGACTCTCATCAAAACTAATGAATTCCCCAATGTAATTGCCCACCTTTCTAGGAGTGTCTACATTCATAAACTTATATGGAACATTGTGCACTTGCACCCAAAATTATGCTTCAAACAAATTCATTTTATGTGGTATATCATTAGGACCCACCGCCTTTAGCAATAACAGATTCCACTCAAACAGCCAAGGATCATCTTCCAAAACACAATGCATATCAACTTTATGGTAAAAAGTGAATAGATACCTTTTTTTCATCAATTTTTTGTACGGCCATTCCTTTTCCTGGCATCCAGAGTGATGCAAACAGGTCATGTACTGCCTGGAATCTAACTTTCCGTTCTGTACGAATGACTCCCACCACCGGAAATTCCTCCTCCTTTGCGGCTGGGACAACGGCCTCTTCCTCTTTATCATCGAAGTTGATATTGTTGTTATCTTTTTTCAAAGGCATTCTCCGGTATTGCTCCACGACTTCCTCCATAGCTTTGCTAGAAAAACTGTCTGCACAATTGCCCCTGCGAATGAACCTCGTTCGTCCCAATAACTGAAACCAAAACAAATACTAGAAAAGGAGAGTTTGAATTTAACCAATGAAAACAACACCACCTTCGTTCCGTTCCAGCCAAAGAGAAGGCTGAAAACGAAGAAGAAGGGAAAAGTCGAATACTACTCTAGGCGGCGATACCGCCTAACCCTAGAGAGAAGAAGCCATCGGCTGCTCTACTTGCTTTTTTTTAATTGCCCACGGTCAGACTTCCGTAATTATAAAATACACAAAGATCAAATCAGATTAGATCAGACCAGACCATCAAATTTTAGTCCAAAAGAAAACATCTTAATTGTTATAAATTTATACGGAGTACTATACTTCATATTTACTTTGAAAACTCAATCAGTATAAATGTTTTAAACTGTTATGACAGGTTATTATTTGAAATATTAAATTTTAAAAATTGATAAATTTTTACAAAATTTCTTAAATTCGGTAAACATATAATATAATATTAAAATTCTAAAAAATCCAAAATGTAATTAATTTTTAAAAATGTTAAAATTAAAATTTAAAAAATTTAAAAAAATGTGAAAGCGTTAAAAAAAAAAAATTAAAATGTACAAATTTTTAAAAAAGTACAATACAAAAATCACTCAAAACGCCAAAAAAAAGATTTGTCATTCATAAGTTCTTATTGTTTTTAGCTCTATTTTTCAAATTTTAACGATGTTTTAGATTTTTAAAAACACTATAATTGATCAAAGACTGGTTGAATGACTCGACTAATCGATTTTTCATTAAAGTAAGCTAGCGTGTTTATATAATACTCCCTCCGTCCATTAAAACTTTGTCAAATTTCCTTTTTTGGATGTCCCACTAACTTTGTCGTTTTCCGTTTTAAGTAAAGAATTTGTGGTTTCAATTAATTCTCTGCACAAACCTCAATCACGCAGCTTTTACTTTATTAATCCCTGTGCCGGTCAAACATGGCAAAGTTTAAAGCGATGGAGGGAGTATTATTTTAATATGAGAGCTTAAGTGATGAATTGAAAATAATATATCAGTTCGGACGTTTTCCATACCGTTTTATGGGCATATCATGTGTATGACATTGCTTACGCAGCACGGCGTGTAAATATGGATATTTTGTGTTTTACGTGTAAAACTATTTAGTGTAATTGATACTACGTATTGTACTTTTATGTAACTGACAGTGTTATATTTTGTACAAACGTTGTTATAAATAATGTGGAAGAGATATTGATACAAATAATTTATGTTTGTTGTAAATGTAACACATAACATTTTAAATGAGATTGTGACATTCAACGAATTTGTAATTGTAATATTTTTTGAAACAAAAGTTCTATGTTTCGTGTATACATGATATTATAAGAAATGCAAAATTCGTGTAAAAAAATAAATAAATGTGATATAACTTTTTGTAAATGTATACAAATCTTTGTTGATACAAAGATTATATGATTAGTGGAAATGATTTTACAAAATAGTTGTAATATTATTGTGTGGTATGATTAGTGGAAATGATGTAAGTGTGGTATATTCTTGTGTAATTGTAATGTTACGTTGCTAGATGAGACAAAAGTTGTTTTGTTTGGTGTGGTATAATGTAAGTTACGTTTGAAAAATAGGTAGTGATATAATCGGTACAATCTTACCCTCATCCAAAGCCGGATTGAAAAACATTTAATTCAAATTGAAGACAAAGTTATGCCAATACTAGCGGCGTTTAACAAATATATGACAAAGAGTATACAATCTTACCCTCATATTTAGGGAAATTCATTCTTTCAAACTTTACAATATTTTATCTCTTTAAGATGATGTCTCTAAATAAAGAGTATACAATCTTACCTCAAGAAAGAGTTCAGTTGTACATATAATAATGGTTTTAACTACATATTCAAATAAAAATATTCATCTATGGTGATTATGTCACATGCAAATATGCAATATAAAGTTAAAGATATTTATTTCTATATTAAAATATGAGATATTGAAATATCCAGTTCTCAGTTTTGGGTATCTAAGAGAAAGGCATGACAAAAGTGAGATTGTAATGAAATCACATAAACTAATATGCCATCCACTTTACAAGAGTTAAGTGATTTGTCTATATTAATATATTAACTTCATGAAAAGAATTATTCACCCTGGATATTTATATTACATACATAAGTTTGAAGGTGTTTATTTTACACCCGTTCGAAGTTACGTTTGTGATAATTGAATTATTTTTCATTTTACTTTATTCGCTTTTTGGGTGTTCTATCATATAAACATCCTCAAAAATAAGGGAAAGTGAGTGCTGACGAGTAGGGCTGAGCAAAACCCGATCCGACCCGAAAAACCTGATATTTTTTCCGGATATTATCCGAACCGAAGTGGATATCCGACCCGAAAAACTCCAAACCGAAAATCCGATTTGTATTGGGCCTAGACTGGGTGGCAGGTAGGGTTTGTGAAATCCCAACCCGACCCGCCCGAATATCCGAAATATAGGTTAGTGTGTACTTTGAATATTTCAATTAATATATAGTTGTGTTCAATTATTTGTGTAATTATTTGTGCAATTTGTATTACATTATTTGTGTAAATTGAATGTGTCGTGCACTAATGTGTACAATTTTTGTCAAAGTGGCATTCCAACACTTTAATTATCCAATTATAATGTGTTTTAACCAAAATATCCGAAATATATTACATTATGTGGTGTGTACTTTGAATATGTTAAATTAATACTTGGGTTCAATTATTTGTGTAATTATTTGTGCAATTTGTGTTAAAGTATTTGTGTAATTTGGAAGTTTAGTGCACTAGTGTGTACAATTTTTGTCAAAGTGGCATTTGAACACTTTAATTATCCAATTATAATTTTTTTTAATATAACCGAAATATCTGAAACCCGACCCGATATCCGATAATATCCGACTTAAAATATCCGAAATACCCGATTTGAAATATCAAAGGGTCGGGCCTAGTATTTAAATTACCCGAACGGGTTTAGGTTTCGCAAACCCGACCCGCCCGAACCGGACCCGTGCACAGCCCTACTGACGAGTAATCTGCATTTTATTGCTCCATGTCATCAGTATGAGATCTAATTGTACAAGCAATGGTTACCCTGGGGTTAGTAGCATGGCGAAAGTATGAGGAGCAAGTGAGGTTTTATAGTTGAAAACCCTTCTACAAATACTGGTTCTAAAAGGCTCAGAATTTCGATTTCTAAATTTGAGCTAGTTAATGTCATAATTTGGAACGAAAATCCTTATACAATATTGATAGTGGACTAAGGATGTTTTTACTTGGACCGTTTGTAGTCTCAGACTAGACTATATCAGATCAGACTTCCATAGCAATAAATACACAGCAATCAGACATTTATCAGATCAGTTCAGATCAAACAAGACATAACAGACCAAGACATCAAATTTTAGTCCAAGTAAAAACATCCTAAAATCTTATTTTAGAACCACAAATTATATGTAGTATTATAAATGATTTTCACCATATATGATTTAAGTCTACCCCTATTTTATAAATTTCTATTAAATTCAAAATAATCTTTTTAGCGGGAATTTTTTTTATTTTGTGTCATCAAATGATATTTTAATGACACACATTTGTGCAACAAAAACTTCTTACTCAAAACTTACTATTATATACCTTCTGTGCATTTATGGAACAGAATAAAACTCGTCACAAGGTGATTTCCAAAATATCACTGCTCATACTACTTTGTGCAATAAATCAGATATTTTCTGCTTGAATAAAGTCATTAGTCATTAAGGTCTAGCACACATGGTTTTATGCTGCACAAACAAAATTTTGCTAGCAATTGCCGCAATTGGCTATGTATAACATCTTTGAAGCAACATGTGCAATACAAATTTGCAAATTATTGTTGCCAATTGTTTTTGTTTGGGGATTGCAAATTTGCAATGTGTAGTTATACACAAGCTTTTGTGAGAAACATACTAAGTATTCCGTTTAGGATGGAACCCCAAGTCTTAATATGGTATCAGAGCCAATTCCGGTTGTGGTTTACCGTCTTGTTTAGCACCCATGATTAAGGATAGCTTGTCAAGGGTCTGTTTGGCCCATTTATACACCTCGATATTGTCCAGCCCAGTTTGGGCTGAGGGGGCATGTTGAAGTATTTGTCCCACACCGGAAAGCAATAAAATAATAAAACACTATATAAGGTTTTGGGCTACTCCTCCTATCAGGTTGCCTTTTAGGATGGAATCCCGAATCTTAAAAGCATATGCAGAAAGGGAAGAAGGTTCTATGTAAGGGCATAGAGTTGGAGTACAATGATCACATCCAGCCTTAATATCGGTAAAAATACGACCATGATATCGAATGGATTCGATTGATTTCAGGTCAAGGTCATACAAAAATGCAAACCCTAGATCAACCCTGAAAATGAGGGCAAGAGAACTCTTCTTCTTCTTCTTATTAGCCCTAACAAAGGCGTCCATGAAAATGCACCTGGGCCTAGGCTTCCCATATCTATCCTTCATATCCCTCCGCTTTGTCCTTGATGACACTAAGGTGACATCGTTCCACATGAATCCACACTTATATTGTACATCAGCACCCACTCATGACGGGGTATGGTAGTCAGTTACAGAATGTGGTTAATTCCGTTTTCAGCAGACTTTGGGAGCATGAAAACCGCCATCAAATCAGAATCCAAGGTGGTGAACCATAAAATGTCTTTGTCTTCAATGGTTGATCTTGTAAAAGCATGAGTTTGGGAACCACGACTACAAAGATCCTGAGGGGTAGCGATGTGTTATGGCTCCAGCCCATATTCGCAATATTTTATATTGCTTTTGTTTATGATTGGGCCTTATTTGATGGATATTTTATGTCCTATTTTTGGGTCCATTTGATATTGAGCCTTGGGCTTCTAAGACAAGTTTTTTTGGAGTCTATCTTACTGAAAAATATCAAGTTGGGAGGCTGAGCAGATGCATTACAACACACACAAAAAAACAAAAGGTTTTGACAGATTCCTGATTTTCGACCTACATTGCGCTGCTTCGTTCAGATCGTCAATCTGAGGTGTTCCCTGGTCGATTTTTGCTGAAATTCGGAAAGCTTGTTCATGACTTCAAGGGCTTCATTTTGAATGGTCGGATTGTTCAGTTGAGCTCTGGTTTGGTCAGAAACGCTGAGTGAACAGACCTGCTGTTTTAGGTGATTTCTACACCTTATTGTGCTATTTTGATCTCTTATTGTTATTGGTGATTGGTGTTGGGCTGTGAATCTTTTGTAGACTTATTTGGGGTTCTTTTACACTCATTTATCAATAAGAGAATTAAGGGTGGACTCCTAAAGAGGTCCCGTGCTTTTTTATCCTTCATGTTAAAGGGTTTTCCACGTAAAAATCGTGTGTGCTCCTTCTGTTTTATTATTTTCGCTTGTTATTGTGCTTTATATTCTGCAATAGTGCTGATTTTGTATGGTAATTTGGTTGTAATTTGGGTCGATTGAGTTGCTAATTTAGTTGATTGTCTTGAGGTTGTGACATTGTGGGTGTAATAGAGACCCCTTATTTGATCCCTACAACTTGGTATCAGAGCTTGAGTTTAATTTGTCACATTATGGCCTGGAGTCGGGTAGTAGTAACTTGATGGTAAAATTGACATCAACTAATTATTCTAATTGGAGAACTATGATGGAAGACATGTTATATTGCAAGGACTTGTATGACCCAATTGAATCTGTCACCCATCCTGATGGTACTATTTCTAAACCATCCAAACCAGAGAAAATGGAAGATAGAGAATGGCTAAAGTTGAAAAGAAAAGCTTTAGGGACTATTAGACAATGGGTTGATATAAGCATTTTCACGCACGTGTCACAAGAGTCTGACCCATATGATTTGTGGAAGAAGTTGGAATGTCTCTATGAACGGCAGACTACTCATAATAAAACTCCTTTAATCAAGAAACTTGTAAATTTGAAACTAAAAAGTGGGAAGTCTGTGTATGAGCATCATAGTGACTCAAGATATTATTAACAACTTGACTACTATTAAAGTTTGTCTTGATGATGAGTTGCAAGCCTTATTTCTATTGAGCTCTTTGCCAGATAGTTAGGAAACCTTGGTTGTGACTATTAGTAACTCTGCTCCGGATGGTGTGCTATCTTTGGATGTCATCAAAGTGGTTTGAACTAATGTGTGGCCATGTGGGTTACCAGGCGCAGTCACCCACTGCGTCTCCGGTTTAATTTACAGGCTGACCAGGCCGGGTTGATTCGAGTCTTATAACATAAAATAATTGTTAACTATCAACTTAAATTCTAAATCTTAAATAATTAGATGGTCCTACTTTTGGTTCATCATATGTTTGATTCCTCGATAACTTAATTTTTGAAAGATTCATTGTATAAATAGGCATTCACTGTACTGTTTTTCCTTTTTACAATACAGCCGTAGAAATTCAGAATTAAAATCCTCTAGTGGCAGCCCCTAACTTGGAAAAATACCAATCTGTTGCGTATATAATGTGTGCAGCCAGCTATTAGATTCTGTTCTATTACAATTGGCATTTAAGTTTTCATTAGCAGCTTTCTCAATCAAAATAACTTTGCCTTTTCTTCTCAAATACTACCATCCATAATTTCATTACCTGATAGATAAACATCCTTCAATATTTTCTACTAGGGAGTATGATTTTGGAATAATTAGAACACATTTGAAAAATGAAGGGACAGCAGCCCCAAATTGCTCACACTTGTGTCCCCTTCACATTAAATACGTGGATTATGTGCTTCCTAAGTTTTTGTAAAAACACTTGAACCAATTCTGAGGTTTATTTAGCATACCTTAAGAGATTGATACAACAAAAACTTCAAATGCTTAAGTCAGAACTTAGACCTCATATTAGTTTCATGTAGAGTGTTGGGATTAGACTATACTAAAACGGAGAAAGTTCGGGAAGACAAGGTATCTTACTTTGACAATATTCACTTTGACACTTTCGATAAATGAAACAATAGATTGTTTATAACTTCAGGTCATTCCACGTCAAAAAATATATAGGCAGTATAGCAAAAGAAACCTTTTATTATGATTTCCATGAAAGTATATTTAGCTTATTAAAAGTAATTCAAGGAATCAAGGCGCTATATGCAAGTGAGAGGAATAGAAACTAAGAAAGAGGAGAAAGTGATCACAGCTCACATTTGCAAATCATATTCCAAAAGAAAAATGCAAGAAATTCTTAGTATCAAACAAATCAGATTCATTAAGTAACATAATAATCACTCAACCAGCCTACTTAAGAGCATAAGCGGAAACGGAAGAAGGTTCTAAGTAAGGGCACAATGTTGGAGTATAATAATCACATCCAACCTCATAAGTGGTAACCATTCGACCATCATATCGTACAGGTTCGATCGATCTTAGGTCAAGGTCATAAAGAAATATGTCGCCGAGTTCAACCCTGAGAATGAGGGCAAGGGAATTCTTCTTCTTATTATTAGCGGGAAAAATGGCATCCATGAAAATGCACCTGGCCCTAATCCTCCCCCTTTTATCCTTGATAGTCCTCCACTCCTCCGCCATGTCCTCGATGACACTAAGGTAACATCGTTCCAGAGTGAATCCACACTTACATGGTACATCAGCACCCACTCATTATGGGGTATAGAAGCCGGTCGCAGAATGCAGTTAATTCCGTCTTCTACAGACTTTGGGAGCATGAAAACCTCCATCACAGTATTGGAGTCCAACATGGCTAACCACAAAATGTCTCCGTCCTCAATGGACGACCTTGTAAAAACATGACTTTGAAAATCACGAATACGAAGATCATGCGGGTTAGCAATGACTTGGATATTGTTTTCACGGGGACGGTAAAGTGCCATTTCATCCTCGTACCAGTGGAAAACACCGTTGATCACTAAAGGATGCCCCACAATAGAATATGAGTAGTCCGCTGGGAGAGTTATAGAGGGTTTGGCAGCCCAAACACCTGTCTCTGAGGAGTAAGTCTGGACCCCTAAGAAATCAGGATCAGGATTGTCTCCTTTATAACCATGATCTATTTGGACAACTATGTACTTTGCCATCAGTTTATTTTCATTCTCTTCGTACATCAACCCTATGGATGTTAGCATATACCCCCGCAACGATTTGGGTGGCGGCAACGATTTGGGTGGTGGCGGAAACGAGACGAACTTTTCAGTTATAAGGTTCAGGACATAGTACTCTTCAGGGTTTGGATTGCGGCAGAGGATCAGCCCACCTGACGAATTTATGAACTCGTATTCGTCTAATTTAAGAGACCCATGCTTGATTTCGTGTTTATCAGGAAGATCGAGAAAAAGTATGTTCGTGGCAGCTGTTTTGCTTTTCTTTGATTTGGGGTTATAATAAGGGCGAGTCTGTATTCTCTGGAAAAAGGCCAACAAATCTAGACCGCCGCGCCGCCGCCGCCTAGTGTCGTACCTCTCGATGAAGAAGGGACCGGAGATCAGTTCGTTCCATGCCTTACAAACGACCCTGAATCTGTAGATCGATTTGGGTGGCAAACAGAGTAGAATTTCCATCATCATTTGTTCATCCATGGGACTTCTAGATCAAAAGGCTTGATTCTTCTCCTTGTTGCTGCTTGGTAATACGTATAATGTAGGTAGTGATATGAAACGCATCCTCTCGTTCTTGTATTCGAGGGAGAGTTTTTTTTGTGGGAAAAGGTACATATATATACCTTATAGTAGGTGCGGGAATAAATATACACTTGTTCTATTTTTTGGAACAAATATACCCCTGAATTTTAAAAAAGGTGCAAAAATAACACTCATGTTTTTATAAGGAGAAAATTAGCTCCTGTAACTCCGTAAGACTAGAAGTTCATACATTTCCCAATGTATGACCGAGTTTTTCTTATTCTTACTCCCTCCATCCCTTATAACTTTGCCAACTTTCCTTTTTTGGATGTCCCATTAACTTTGTCACTTTCCCATTTAAGTAAAGAATTTGTGGTTCCAGTTAATTCTCTCTCCTCTGCACAAACCTCAACCACACAGTTTTTACTTTATTAATCCCCGTGCCGGTCAAACTTGGCAAAGTTATTAGGGACGGATGGAGTATTTATTAACCTTTTTCCTTGTTTTTTTATTCCGCCTTTGCCCTCAAAACTTCAACGAATTAAGATCGCAAGTTTAATCCTATTTTCTCGGATGTGATAAACATGCACGTCTGCATTACGTAGTAATTTATATGATAACCGTTTTCATCATTTTTATTTATATTTTCTAGAATGTCCTTTTCTTCCTTCCAGGATCATCATTTTTGATCCGTTACTTTGTTCCCATTTAAAGATTATCCTAACTTCAATAATTACTTCCCCTTATTTAAATTGTACGTAGCATTTGTTACCATATAGGAGTATATTGATATATGTACACTTTTCATTGGTACATAAAATTATTGCACACTTTTTAATGTCCAAATTTTATACTCCTTCGTATTACTGTCCTTTTAATGATTACACTGCCCATGACTAATCTTTATACTACTACACTTTTAAACCATTAATTTATTTTTTACTTTTCGTATGACAATATTTCAAAAAATTATCAAAATAAGAGAAAATGTTTGAAAATTTTAAAATAAGGTTGTCATATTTTTATTCTCTAAATAAGAGTAATTACTGTCAAACTTGAAATATAATGTCAAGTTTAGAATCGGGTACTGCCATAACATGATAATAATTACTCATATTTAGAGAACAAAAACATAATACTTTTATTTTAAAATACAAAAAGTAGTCACAAACATGTTTAGTCGTCCTATTTAGAACAATTACCCTTTTTCCATGTTCTTTAACTTCACTGCCCAACTAAAATTATACTAAATCACTAGATTTACTGTCCTATCTCCAACTCATATGGAATTTGAGATTCATTGTCTGAAATTCCATCTTAAAATAATACCCTCCGAGATTTCAAGTACTTACTTTCCTAGTTTACTGTCCTAGTTTACTGAAGAGCAACTTACTGTTGTACTCAATTGCGTAGAAATTCGAACGTCACCACGTTCAGATTATCCTAGACAAAAAATGCTCCATCCAAACCGTCTCCTAAAAATACGCTACTTTCCGTCTTAAGAAAACTCTATTTTCTATTTAGTGGCCAAATTATTATAGTGGGCATCAAATGTCACGCCCCGGACCTCCCCGGACACGTCAACAACCCGCCGTACAATACGAATAGTCAACCGCAGTCCAACACATTCATATTATACAAGGCGCAAGGTTGTTAAAATCTCGATTTAAATCGTAAAATCGTACGATTTTACGATTCTACAATAATAAATCGATTCAAATCGCAGGTTAAATCGTAAAATCATAAAATCGTACAAAATCGTAAAAAAATCGTACAAAAATCGTGTAGAATCGTATAAAATCGTATCAAAATCGTAGCAAAATCGGAATAAGTTTTTTTAGTGAAAATGGTTCAAATTTATTAAAATTAACTACTACAAATTGATACAAAATTTCAATAATAATAACATCAATAGTATATCTAAAAAAGTAATGGATTCTTGTGTTGTTTAATTATTTTTATGTTTTACATATGTTTAATGTTATTATTCACTCTATTTACAATATAAAAATAGTTTATAAATCTTGTTTTTGACCTTGTAGGTCTAGTGGTATGTAATAAAATGACATAATACCATTAACTTGCAACTTAATTTTAATATTTATTTATTTTATAATTATTAAAATATGTTTGATAAAATCTTACGATTTGCGATTCGATTTTACGATTCGATTTTCAAAAACATCTACCGATTCGATTCAAAAATACGATTTTAACAACCTTGACAAGGCGTCATGAATATCATTCACACATATAACATCCATAAACAAACATAATAAGTAATTCATTACGCAGCGGAAAACATAGTTTGAAATCAGATGCCACACAGGGCAAACATGAGCACGCAGGCTCTAAAGTAAAATATCCATGAGCATGTTTATTAATGTTCTAAAACAGAATGGAGGAAGCACGAACCAAGTCTTCTCCCCGGGAAATCACTCGAGCAACGAGCACAGGAAGCAAGCTCTAGCCTCAACCTGAAATGGTGGTGGGACGCCCCTGAAGGGGTCAGTACTCTATACGGCTATAAAGTACTGTTGTGGCAGGCATCTAATAGATATACAACAAGTATTTCAAACACAAGGCCCTCAAATAGGGTGATAGTACAATATGGTTGTAACCCTAAGTTACCCCGTTTGAAAATATACTTACTTTATATAAAAGTCAAGTAGTCGGCCCGTGGGCCCAAGTTTATTTAGAAATCACCATTCCCATTCCCCGTGACTATAAGCCATGACAACTCATAGAGTCCAACCCTAAACATGACATTGTATTCTAGAGCTCCGCTCTATCACATCACCATACAATTCATGTCACTCGGGTCAATTTCCTTATCTTGCATTCTAGAGCACAGCTCTATCACATCACCATGCAATCCTTAGATCTCCAACCCCAATACATGACATTGTATTCTAGAGCTCCGCTCTATCACATCACCATACAATTCATGTCACTTGGGTCAATTTCCTCACCTTGCACGAGAGTCCAATTCCTAAGCAAACCTATGCCTAGAATTGACATATCGGTAAACTACTTTGGGTCATCCTTAAGGACTGCCCATAATATAACCTTAGCTTCATACGAAGTCATTATATACACTTGAAGTATATTCAAGTGCCTTTCATACAATCCAATCCCTAGGATCAATTCAACTAACAATTTCCAATAATCACTAACTAGTATTTCAATACTATTAAGATTATTGTCATCATACAAATATTCTCATTTTGTAATTCTCTACATATTTATAGACATGTAGCAGCAACTTAAGTGTTCAATCTCAATACATAAATATTCATTAATGTATCCACATAATTCATACATGAGTAAAATCCCTATTTCATAAAATAGTTCTTTTATAACTCTTTTAATCTCATATTATTCATACATCCTCAAATCATTTCCAATTTCATTCTTTGGAAACTATATCAATATTTTATCAATATTTAAACATCATAATCCATGAAAAATTATGCTTTAGACATTTAGGTAATCTCATGCTTAACCTACAAGTTGTAAGCAATTAGATGTCAATCCTCACCTCAAATGAGCTTTAAAACTTTCCTTCTCGATCCAATGACCAAAGCCTCGGACAAGGAAGATTGAGAACTGGTTCCTTGCTTGAAAATGGGTGTTAAACAGCCTCCTCAAGTTGCTATTTCAACCCCTAATCGTTTATACGAAAACAGCCCCCTAGAATGGGTGTTTTCCGGCTAACTCGATTCCTAGTTTTCCAAGATTTGCTCTAGGTTAGTATCTAACCCTTACATCAATAACATAACTTAATAGGGACATATTATACACTTGGAGTAGTGTATAATAGTTCCACCAATCGTTCATATTATTTGGAAAATGAATGGAAAGGTTTTGGGGTTAACAACTCACTTTAGAAGAGTAGATCCGTTTCTGCGAGGTTGCGTTTCGCTCGGACGATTTGGAAGCCTTCCACTACTCCGATTGATGAAAACCAGACCTTCACATATTCCTCGTCTTGAGATCTTTCTTTGGGTATCTTACACGCCTCGATTGGTTTGGTATAACTCGAGATATCAACCAAACAGCTTCAGCACTCTCACTGCTCGAGTTTACAGACAGCAGCTCACTCCAGCTCGATTTTTGTATGATAAACTCTCCCTTCTCGAACAGAGACCACACAAATATGAAACTACACTTCAAGGGCTATCCAAGGACACCTCATACACGTTATTTGGTTGAGTATAACTCCTATAATGAGAGGAGACAAACAGCACACCAATTTGTGCGAAAATAAAGATGGTGGCCCAAACTTTGATTCTTATCAAGTCATGTGCAGCTCCTCTCCATGCTGGCCGGACAAGGTAAGTCCTCTCACCCATTTTTATTTGTCTTGAAGGTACTAATATCATGTGGAGTTGTTCCCAATTGATCCCAATCATTTTGGGGTCCAAAATATCTACCAATACTTCCAAAAATAGGAAGATGGGTCCTATAGTTTTATCTTTTGTCAAAGATGTCTTTTTGTACTCATCCTAATTTATTTAGAACAAGTCAACTTCCTTCATCACATTATTGATCCCCAATATGTGTAGGTTCATCACAATAATTTACTTGATGGATATCATAGAAGGAAAATCCTACTCCCATTATTTAGCTCAATAATGTCAAATATGGGCTATAGGCATTTGTATTCCTCTCTAATCATTCTATCACTTATTTTGGCATTTGTCATACATATTATTGGACTACTATTCGTGTGGGTCACTCCCGATTGGGTCTAGGATGCCATTCTCGAATACTTGCTATTTTTAGCAGGTTGGGCTCAAAATAACGTTTGGGCCGTCCGACCTTACTCGGATTGTCTTGAAAGATTATGTATCACTATTTAGAAAATGTTGGGCTCTTTTATTTGTTAATAAGACCCAAATAGTATTTGCATGCCCGACACTAATTTACGAGTTCGAACAGTACAATAATCGATCATTAATTATGTAAAACATTAATCGTTTTACAATTGTTTGGGAATCAGAAATCCAATAAATAAACTTTGAATTTTTAAATCAAATTTTCAAGGACGTTCGGGTG